CCCCAAGATTAACCCCCCCCCACGTCCCGTCCTTACCCGTCCTGCTGCTCGGAGATCCTCCGGGCTTGGCTCCCTCCTTAAACCTGCAAACCACGAAGAGAAGAAAAGCTTCCATGGGAGGAAGAAGCCCCCCACCCCCACCCCCGGGCAAGCCCTGTGATTTCTTGGCCCAGGGCCTTGGGGGTGGGGTTGAGGAGGGGCCCCGCAAAAAAGAGTCTTGGCTGGGGGGCACCCAGCAGCAGCCCCGCCTCCCCTCCCTTCAGGGGACTCACCCCACAGCCCTCCGCGCAGCCAGGGCTCAGATTGCCTGCCTCCCCCCACCCCCGCGCATTCCGCCGGAGGCCGCCACTCCTCGCCCTACGTGGTGTCCATCTTCTCGGCGTCCCACTCCCGGCGCCACTCCCCCGTGGCCTGCCGGTGCCGGGCCAGGCGCTCCCGGTCGATCTGCTCCCGCTCCTGCTTCCAGCGGATGTACTCGGCCCGCTCCCGGCCCGTCATGGAGAGCGTCATGTCCAGGGTCCCCTCCTGGCGCCGGCCACCGCCTCGGCCCTGGAGGGAGGCAGGTGAGGGGTACCTCCTGGGTGGGGCACCGGAGGGAAGGGAACGGGCCACACCCCAGGAAGGAAGGGGGCGGGGCCTGAGGAGAACTGCCCCACCCCCACCAGACAGGTGGTTTCCTAGGAGGAACTGGGAGGGGACTGAGAGGAAGAGGCGGGCTTTCGGGGGGGGGTTGGCGTTTCCCCGGAAACCGTGGTGACTGACTGACGTGTGCAAGGGCTTAGGAAGGTTGCCAGCACACGGCCAATGAGCTGTGAAGGAAGCCCCAGAAGGCAAGCAGGGCGTCCCTTCAAGAAGTGCGCAAACAGAGAACAAAACAAAACAGAAGCTGACAAAAAGGAGGGGAATTTGGAGACCATGCCACAAAAATCCACAGAGGCGTCAGAAGAAAGGAACCAGCCAGGCAGGGAGGCAATCTGGAAAGCCAAGGTTTGGATGGAGGGAGCGGGGCCTCGGAAAAGCTTGCAGCGTCCTTGGTCCTGATCTCCACTGGCACCCCCCCCCCACACGCACACACACACACACACACACACACACACACCATAGATAGGGATTGAGTGGAGAAGGCTGACTCACTTTGGTGATGATGTTGCATGGACAGCTGCGTGCTTACTGGTTTTTCAAACATCACTTTTACTCTGTCTCTACCACATCCATCTTTTACTACTGAGGGGCCGCCTGGGGGGGGGGGGGGGGTGTCTCCAGTAGAGGCTTCCCACATCGCCTCCTGCCCAGTCCTGGCGCCCAGTCAAAGGAGGCCTTGTACTCGGGAGAGCATTTACACGGTGCCCTACCTACCTGCTTAAAACCCGATTTGCCCTACGCTTAAAGCAATCGTAGCCATTATGTATTTAGGGGAAGTTTAGAACGTTAGGAGATTCAGGTTTCACTAGGACGCGTATTCTGGAAAGCTAAACAGGGCTGGCCCCGGTCAGTACTTGGACAGAGGGGACCGCCAAGGAATACCAGGGCTGCGATGCAGGGGCAGGCAATGGCAAACCCACCTCCACACGCCTCCTGCCTTGGAAACCCCACGGGGGTTGCTACTAAGTCAGCCGTGACTTGACAGCCAAAAATAAGTCCACAAGTTTATTACGGCCAAAAGACCAGTCACAATAAATACAGACAAAAAGAACAATTTAAAATTAATAAATATGTTAAATATATGGGGATCTATGTGTAAAAGACACACTCATTTCACTAATTTATTTCCCAGCAGCTGACGTTTCCTTCGTCAAGTGGTACACGCTTTTTGTGTGCTAGGACACAGAATTTTGCTACTGCATATGATACAGTTCTCTGACTGTCACCTGATAGATATACCCGAAGGGTTTCAGGACTAAAATCTATATGACACTGCAATGGCTTAAATCTGCAGAGTCATGGAGTAAGTAATTGCCGGCAAGAATAAATCTCTGGATGTCAACCATTCCTCGAGCTTCGCAGGGCAGAGGGCCGGCAGGGGGAGGCGCGGCCCCCCCCCCCCCCCCCCCCCCCCGTGGCCAGAGAGAGGTGGGGGCCTCTCCGCCTTCACCTACCGGAGGGGGCCACGCTTTGCCCTGCTCCATCCCAGTCTTGACCTTGTCGAAATCGGCTCCCCCCCAGTTGCGGATGTGGCGCCGGCTGCCTTCCCGCCGGTCTGACTCTGCGAAGGGGCCGCTGCGCCGGGGGTCGTCCAAGAAGTTGCGCACGGGGTTCTTCTCCTGCACTCCATCCTGGAGGGAAGCCCAAAGCCAGAGGAGGGACAGTGGGGTGAAGAGACTCCCCCCTCCCCCCACCCCCAATCCGAGGGGGGCCAACCAGGGCCGGCCAGGTAGCCCGAGGGGGGAGCCTGGGGAGGGGGCAAACCAATGGTGTTCCCCCGTGGGCGGGCCCCCCCCCCCCCCCCCCGTTCCTCTCTGGGGACCCGAGACTCACCCGCTGGCTCCGCTCGTACTCTGCAATCTTCTCCATCTCCTCGTTCATCTTCTCGATGTTCTGCCGGCGGCGCTCTTCCCATTCCTGGAGGACGGAGGAGGGTCACTTGGGAGGGGGTCCTTTCCTGGCTGGCTTGGCTTCGCTCAGGGCGGGTGCCTCACCTTGGACCTCCTGTCTGGGCCGGCGTCCCCCGCAGGGCCCCCGCAGCCCCGTGGCCTCCGGCCTCCTCCTCCTCGTCCCCGCTTGCTGGCCCCCACGCCATCTCCGTCAGCCCCTTCCCAGTCGGGCTGCTCGGGGCGGCCCTCGGCGGCACGTGGGGAGATCCGGCCCTGCCCGGGGCCCCCTCGGACCGAGCCCCGGGGGGCGTGTGGGGCGCTGCGCGGGGTCCTGTGGGAGG